TAAATTTGATCAAGTTTTTGTTAAGTTATTCTTGTTTAAAGTTTTAAAAAAATTTATTAAAAATATTTGCTTGATTTCTAATGACTCAACCCTATATATTCTATTTTTTTTGATATAATTTGAATTATTTTGAATTTATATAAATAAACCCAATTTATTCTATTTTTTTTAATATAATTTGAATTATTTTAAATTTATATAAATAAACCCAATTTTTAGTTATCTTCTTTGTAAAAATCAGCTTATTTTATTTTTTATTACTTAAATCTTCTTTCTTTCAAAATATTTATTTTTTACAAAATTTCTTTGTTATTTTAAAAACTTTTCATATTTTTATTTCATATTATTTCACTTTATCTTAACTTTATTTTATTTATTTTGATTTTTTTTATATTTTTTTTCATTTTCCTTTTTCTTATATTTATTTTATTTTATTTGATTTATTTCAATTTGTTTTAATTTTATTCATTTATATTTATTTTTTATTTTTTTCTTATATTTTTTATTTTATTTACTTTATTTTGATTTGTTTTAATTTTATTCATTTATATTTATTTTTTATTTTTTATTTTTTATTTTTATTATTTTTATTTTTTTTATTATATTTTATTTTATATTATTTCATTTATTTTATCATAATGTTTTTGCGTCTAATAAGTAAAATTGCTAAGCTTGAAGCTGCAAAGCGTGTATCATTTTTAAAAAGTAAAGCTGATAGTAAAGCATCTCAGTTAGATACTAAGCAGGCTGCTGTGTAGTCTAGTAATACTAGTGGCTCTACTTTAATTTATTTACTATGCCATTTTGAAGGTTAAATTTCTTTAATACATTTTTGTTTATTTTGTAATTTTTCTATTTTAATTTTTTTAAAAAATAATTTAAAATAGAATTTTATAATTTGTCACATATGCATTTATCACATATGCGTTATAATATTGTTTATACTGTGGGTAATTGATTATGATTTTGATCGATTGTTAATTAACTATGATGTCTTATAAATAAATAAAAGCAATGATTATAAGAATAATTGAAACTCTTCTCTTAATAGTGTATTTTGTAAACTATAATAAATAACAAAAATTTTCATTTTACCTTCTTTTTGTTTCGTGTTTTGTTTATATTTTCTATCTGTTCTTTTCTTCCTTACATCATTTGCATTTTTCTTCTTTATACTCTCAGTGTTTTAGTTATCTGCATTTGTTCTTTTTCTTAATTTTTTTTTTTTTTACATCATCTTCTTTATATCTCAATATTCTTCTAGCTATTTGCACTTCTTTTCTTTCTCACTTTTTTTTTTACATACCTTCTCTTGTATTATTTATGTTTTTTTCTTTTGTATTCTTCTTTTAATATTATCTACATTTTTCTTATTATCTATATTCTTCTTGTTGTTTACATTCTTCTTTTTCCACCTTCTATATTTAGCAAGTGTCAAGTGTTAATCATAGTTTTGCTTAAGAATAAGATTATTGACTTGGCAAGTACATCATATAAGATTTAAGTGAAGAGGTAAGTTTGAGTCATTAATAATATTAAAAAGCAAATAATATTGTCATATGAATATAGTAATACATACTTGAAGTAATAATTGTTAATTAAATCTACTTTAGAATAACATAATTAATATGGAAAACATGGAAAGTATAGAAAGTATGAGAAGTATAAAAAGTATAAAAAGTATGGGAAGTATAAAAAGAATAGAAAGTATAAAAAGTATAAAATATATATAAAGTATAAGACATCTCTACAATAATAGAAATGTTACTGAAAATACAAAAAATACATATTACTATACTAATATAGAAACTGATACTGAAAATGTAAAAAATGTGGATTATTATAGAAATATAGATAATATAGCTACTGATTCTCAAATGACTTCATTTATAATTAATAAATACATTAAAACTATTTACTAAAAAAACACTATCAAATTGGAAAATATGTAACTTATTTATAGTTGATTGGGGTAAAAGAAAAGGGTTTAATGTTGTAAAGGATTGTGTTATTTATAAAAATAATATTATTAGAAGACGAACTTATATCTGTAAACATAGGCAGCATTATAAATCAAACTTTAATAAAGAAATAGCTACTAAAAAAATGTTATATTAATAACATGTGAATGCATCTTGCCCTAAGCTTAAAAATCTAAAATCTATTATTTTTATTAATAAGATAGTAGATTAGCATAACTATAAATTAAATAGTGATGCTATAATATTTGAACAGGAAAAAAAGTTTAGTAATAAGATAATAAATAATATAAAATTTTTAACTCAACATTGCAGAATGGGTGCAACAACTCAAAGATAATATTTGGAAAGCAAATATTCTTCTCAACCTATCTATAGTAAGGACTTATACATGGCAATTAGTAAGTTTTATTCTAATACTAAATCTTTCTTGAATAATGCTTTACAAATATCAAATTGCTTGATAGTTAAAAGAAAAAAGGCTCACAGTAGATTGTAGCAAGGGAGTGGGATGATGATAATATACTCACATATTTGATATGGATAATCCCTAATTAGGTTGAAAACTGGATACAATTTAGCAATTGTGTCATTAATGGTATTATATATAAAACAAATAGATATGAGATATCTTTGTCACTTTTTGTGGGGTTTGATCAAGATAGACAGGATATTTTTCTTGCACAAAGACTAATTGCAGATAAAAGCAAAGATTCTCATATTTGGTTTTTTAAAAAAATTCTTGAGGCTACTAGTATACAACCAACAGTAATCAGGGTTAGGCAATGGACATATCCAGTGATTTTTTACTGGACATTGAACATTTCCAAATTGTCCTATGCAATGTCCAGTATCTGATGAGGCGCAGTTTTAGTTGGCACTGTACAATGTCCAATAATCTTTCATAGGACAATTCGGACAAATTTTCATTGTCCAATTATATTCGATAGCGGCAAATTCCTGAATAAGTAGACTGGAATTATTGTCTTTATTTAGAATTTTGACATTTCGACAAAAAATAATATTATGTCGAAATATATTTCAACACAAAATTGTCTAAATATTTGATGAAATAGGATATTTCGACTAACAACATTATATTATATATTATTAATACTTTGACTAAAATACATTTTTTTTTCGTCTGGGCCTTATAGTTAGCACATTATCGCTATAATGTATATTTTTTTTTTATTTATTTATTGGTATGATACTAATTTGGTTAGTACATATAAGTACTTGATTCCATCAATTACGTGATTCTACTTTGATCTTCAAATTCAGATTGATATTTTTAATATTTGTACCTTACAGTTATAATTTTAATCAAGTAATTTGAAACGGGCTAGAATATGTGATGTGTATATATGTATCATATGTAAACATATATTCAGTAGTGTGCAAGTGAATATTTTCACGAAGCTTTTATTTTAATAAAAAAAAATTGATATGGCAAACTTAATTTCAATCAATACTAAAAAATAAAAAATGGATAAATTCTAAATAAAGACAATAATTCCAGTCTACTTATTCAGGAATTTGCCACTATCGAATATAATTGGACGATGGAAACTTGTCCGAATTGTCCTATAAAAGATTATTGGACATTGTACAGTGCCAACTAAAACTGCGCCTCATCGGATACTGGACATTGCATAGGACAATTTGGAAATATTCAATGTTCAGTAAAAAATCACTAGATATGTCCATTGCCTAACCCTGATATCCCACACATGTACTCATCTGCATGTTCGGTAACTTTTCTCAACTAGTACATGTTGTGCTGCCACTACCGGTCTGTATCTCAAGCTATCATTTCGGATACTGCCGTAACCCGATTTGTATCTCAAGCCACAACCTTTCTAATTAGTTCCCACTTACGTACTTCTGCCCTTGCAAGGTTCACAACAACCCCAGTACCCACGTTTCAACTTCCTTCTTTTTCAGATTCCTTACTGGTTCCTCTCTTACTTCTAGCCGGCAACCCAGAAGGGTTGGTCTGCCCAGGCTTTAGGTGCCTTACGGTCTCCCTTCCCTTGGTACATGCTTCCAAAGCACATGTCCTTTTCCTCTGGTTGGTGACCTGGCGGTTTGGCTAGTGTGACCCCCCTTCAAGGACCTGATCGCTCGGTTCTCCGGTCTTAGTTTCTGATTCTTATCTTCAATATTATTAGTATTCTATAAACCACAAATAATATTATATTCTTTAAATCCAACTAACTAGCCTTCTCAAACTTCAATTTTGACAATAAACTACTCTCTAACTTCGACTCAGATGACAACTTATTATATAGCCTTAATGATTTACAACTTGAAACTATCACACAAATAACTGAGGACTTAGGCCCTATAGACCCTCTTATATGTTATAACAAGTTTCTTTTTTATTATAGATTATTATTACTAAAATACTTACAAACTATCTTTACTTTTTTTCAATATATCAGATATAATTTTCTCTCATATTATTTACTAGATCTTATTAAAATTTCAATTCTAAACAACAAAAATTACAATAATAATTATACTAAGATACATATCTATCTTTCATATAAGTTATACTTACTTTCTAACTACTTTATACTATCTTTTTTTTCTCTTCTCTACTGGTTTCTCTCAAATTACAACAATCTTCTTTTTTAATATTACAATCTAATCTAAAACTATTAAACAACCCATATAGCAATACACAACATCCTCATTTCTCTCTCCAAACCCCCATACCAGACAATCTATTCTTTTTATCTAGCTCTTTATATACTTCTAATAATATATTTACTTTAACTTCACTACTTCTCTCTAATTATCTTAATCTTACTATAGCAATACATAATGTTAGAGGCTTTAATACAGCCTCTAAAAGATAGTTATAACAAGACTATTGTAGTAATTATAATATTTCCATCATTAGTATTACTAAAACCAAAATTTCTTACAAAGCCAAACTCTTGTTCTGCAATAACAATCTTTATACCTATTATTGGTCCAACTTTAAAAGCTTCTCTGAAGAAACAGCTAGTATGATCCAAAACTATCTTAAACTACATATACACAGTTGCTATATACATCCTGAAGGTGCTTTTGTATTAAACCTCTTCTTTAAAAACAATATTAAACTATATATAATTTCTGTGTACCTTTTCTCTACCAACTTCTTCAAATGCAATTTTACACAAAATACTATCATCAACTAGATTTTTCAAACTAAGCAACAAAACTTGTATCCTATTATACTTGGTAACTTTAATATACATAATAATATATATTAGCAGTTTTTCAACCAAATTCAAACTTATCAACTTTTTTTATTGCTCAAACTTGTTTGATATTGGTGCTTATCTCAACAACATCCAACACACTTGGTCTAAAAATACTAGTTCTAGTTAAATAAACTATATTTGAACTAACTTATTTAACTTACAATCCCTTTTTAACTTTAACCTCGACAATAGCAAAACTAGTACTCTTAGTAACTATTTAATCTTCTTTTCTTTTTAAACATTTCCTTATATTTTTAGTAAATCATCTCGCCTTCATGCCAATATTAGCTGCAGAATCTTTGATTATAAATCAACCTCTACTAACTAATAAACCCAATTCTCTGATCTCACTTATTAGCTTTTTCCTAACAACATGTTCTCTTATATATTCATATATCTGAAAGTATTAATACAACTTGGCATAAAATACAATACTGCATTCTTTGAGCTACTATTCAAACAATCTTCAATAGAATAACATGCAAATGTAGCTACAATTACAAATATAGTCTACAATATACTGTACTCCATATTGGTCTTAAAAAACTAGGCTATTTGATTAAAACTATTAACAACAACTCCAATTTATCTAACTTATATTTACTTTATATTAATTTCAATATTCTAATTATCAATATATATACAAACTGCAACCTCTAATCTCTTACTTCTTTTGATCATACCACTATTCAAACATAACTACAACATATTTATAATATTTGAAAACAAATATCCCAGGCTTATCACCTTGAATACACTCTTTGCCTTTAATATTAAATCAATAAGACTTTAAAGAAAAGGTATGAAACACTAGTCTCTAAGCCCAAACAAGCTATAAATAGTATCCTGGACCACTATTAACCTCCTATTTACTTTTTTAATATCAAATTATCAAACCAACTAGTTACTAACCTCACTTAAATAAAACAACATATACAATTTTATTTCTTTAATTAGACAGCTCACAAACCAATCATTTAACCACTCTTTGACAATTTCTAAAAACAATATTATCTTTCTCTTCTTCATATTAACCCGAACTAGTATACCTTATTTACCCAATCTATTATCCTTGATAAAACTCTTCAAACTATCTCTCAACTTCCTAATAACAAAGCTTGTAGCCTTACTGATATTAGTTATAAAATATTAAGAATCTCATCTATTTTTGTATCTCTTCTCTAACTGCTCTCTTTAATTACTGCTTATCTAACAACTATATTTCAAAGTAATAGAAAAAAGAAAAAATCTTTCCTATTTCTAAAAATAATATATTTAATAGCAATCTTAATCTAACCCAACCAATTAGTCTTATTAAACATATTTGCAAAATTTATACAGTATACCTTTTTAAACTAATTCTGTCAAAACTGATAACCTGCTATAACTAATAAAAAACTAATTCACCATACCTATTTCATAATTAAAATCTGATAATCTGCCATTTCTGATAATCAATACCAACAAGATCAGATATCTATAAGATATTGGTTTTGACAAACACTATAAATCTAATTTGATTGGCTTAGATTATGTTTTGTATAACAGATTACATTAATATATAAGAAATATAATCCAGCTAATTATATTTGGTTTTGATTATATAACAACAGGCTATTAATGTTTTAAATCTGATAATCTCTCAAACCTGATACAAAAGCCATCTACTATGTGTATTGAATTTGAGAAGGTGTACTGTTCTACAATTTTTACTAATAAACTTAGTAAAGTCTTTACACAATACCCTATTCTATCTCCTTACAACTATGTTGCACTATCTAGTAATTGTATATTTACTCCTATTTATATTCTAAACAACCTAATTGAAGATGCAAACTGCAATTACCAAAAAATATAGGCTCTTTCTCAAAATATAAGTAAGATATATAACTCAGTAAACTTTACTCTTTTTCAATATTCACTTTTCTATCTTGCTCTTCTTTCTCCTATTATTAATATTCTTACTAATTTACTAGTCAACTGCCATAATGAAGTTATTGCCAACTTTGGTTTAACACTATTATACCAAGTTCTTAATACATTAGTAAAAAATATAAATACAAAATTTTGAAAGTTATTGCATGCAAAAAAATTGTGCAAGAATTGCAAAATTTCACAAAAACTTTTGAAATATTGCAAAAAAACTTGCGAAATATTGCAAAATATATAAATTAAAACAAATAGAAAAATAAATTTTTTTGCATTACTAAATATAGCAAGTAAATATATTTTTATAATTTTTTGCAATATTTTGCAATATTTTGTAATATTTCTTTTTGCAAAATTCAATATTTTTAATAAACAATACACAATTATATTTTTTGAATATTTTACAATTTTTCGAATAATTTCAAACAATTTTCATAATTTTAAAATTTTATTTTATTTATTATTATATATTATATATTTATATATTATATATTATATATTTATATATTATATATTATATATTTATATATTATATATTTTTTTTACAATACTATTTTTATTACTACAGTACTATTTATTAAAAGAAAATAAAGCAAACTAAAAAAAAAATGAATGCTACTTCAAATCTCTATTTTCCAAAAATAAGAGTTTATATTTTTGCAAATTCAAAAATAACTAAATGATTTTACAAAATATCAGAATAAAAAAAAACAAACAAACAAAAAAAATAAATGAAGCTAATAAATAAAAAAAATAATAATAATAAAGTCCCAAATATTTTTTCTCTAAAGTAAGAATTTGCATTTTTGCAAATTTAGAAATTGGCAAAGGTTTTTACAAAGTGCTATAATAAATAAAATAAAATAAAAATTAAAAAAATAAATAAAAAAAAATAAACAAAAGAAAAATAAATAAAAACTCAAATTTTCATTTCTCTTCTTGTAAATTCAAATATTGGTAAAGGTTTTTGCAAATTGCTAAAACAAATAAAATAAAATTAAAGAAATAAGTAAAAAATAAATAAAACATAAGCAAAATAAAAAATAAATAAACTCTAAATTTCTATTTGCTAAAGTAAAAGTTCATATTTTTGCAACTTTAGAATTTGATAAAGTGTTTTGCTAAATATCAAAAAAGTTTAAGTTTGTTTGCAAAGTATTAAAAAAGTCTAAGTTAATTTTTTTCACAAAGTACCAAAATAAAGTAAATTAATAAAAAAAAAAAAAAAACAAAAAACAAAACTACTAAAGAAACAGTAATATTTTTGCAAAGTATTAGAAGAATTAGAAAACTTGTACAAAGTGCCAAAAAGTTGTTAGTTTTCTTGCAAAGTGTCAAAGAAGTTAAAGTTGGTGTTTTTGTAAAATACTAATATAAAAAAAAGAAAAACAAAGCAAAACCAAAAATAAAAATAAAAATAAAAAAGATCTAATTATAAATAAAGATTTTGTTAAAAAAAAAAATAAACAAAGATCAAGATCTAATCTTATAATACATGTTTTATATATTATTAAAATATTTCAAAAAT